ACTACTAGTAAGGCACTTGCTACTACTAGTAAGGCACTTGTTACTAGACACCTGGTGGAATAGCTGTATTTTCTCAAGAAAACATCATACTTGCCGAACAACGGGAAGTCCTTTTGGAACATACATTGAAGAGGCACGCAGGATCGATTGGACAAATTCGACCAAGTGGCTAGGCACCAGGACACTTTCTGCCATGCCCTGCAATAACGAGAGCGACGTCTCCCACCTGGCCAAACCACACAGCGGTGGGTGCTGTGACAACGAAGTGTATATACACATCCGTAGCCAAGTAGGAAGGACCCTAAGACAGAAGAAACGCCAGAAGGACACTGCGATGACAATCTTTCAACCTGGTGCCTGTTGAGTCAGCTGTTAAGTTTCCCCAAAACATCTAGGAACCAAATCACTAGGGCGAGCGATTCTTCAAGGAAGCGCGAGCTGTCCTGCGTCCAGCAGGTAGTAGCTTAAGTAAGGTAGTAGCTACCTCTCTTCTACTGGCTACCTCTTCCTACTCGGCCTACCCTCCCTGGCGGGCTAAAAGCAAAGAACAAAAGACGCGACAAAAACAGGCTTGTCGAATTTCAATACCATTCAGTGTCCATACCTTGAAAATTGTGGTGTGGGGTAGCTGCTCCTCCGGCTTCGCAAGTACTTTTGGGGTAGCTGTCTCTAGGATCACAGTTCAAGCAGGTTCGTCAGTTTGTGGGCTAGGAACAAGAAGCTACTAGGAGCAAGGGGCATCGCTAGTAGTAACAAGAAGCTACTAGGGGCTCCTGCCTTGCTAGTAACAAGGGCCGGTTCAGTTCCGAGTGACACCTGGGACACTCAGGTGATGTCACAACAAACAATTGGATCCACTGGGAAGGCTAGCGGTTCTGCCAAGTCAGATCGGTATACATAGAACCCCCCTTTGACCATTTTTTCCCCACCCCCCAGAACCCAAAAAATTGCATGAGTACCAAACAGAAATGGCTGTCCATCAATCAGCCACGTTAGTAGGTTGGAGGCCATCGCTATTAGTAGCAAGAAGCTACTAGGGGCTCCTGGCCTTACTACTAGGAACAAGAAGCTACTAGGGCTCCTGGCATCGCTACTAGGAGCAAGGACGCCATTAGGTTGGAGGCCAGGACATGTCGGACATCATTGGGCACATCTACAAGGTGCGAATCATGAATGGACAAGACGAGAAAGAAACGACAGACAAACCGAAGGAACGCCGGCAAAATCAGCTAGATAGCCAGGACAGAGAAGAAACTGTTTGGGCAAACAAGAAGGAGATCATGTCAAGGCCAAGAGCGCTTTAGCGTCTCTGAATTGAGATTTCCAAATGGATATGCCAACTGGAAACAACTTGGTTAACTAGTAGCGTCCTTGCTCCTAGTAGCGATCTCAGGAGCCCCTAGTAGCTTCTTGTTACTAGTAGTAAGGCCAGGAGCCCCTAGTAGCGTCCTTGCTCCTAGTAGTAACTCGGTTAAAGCTAAGAGATGCTTTTATGGAAATTCCACCTTCGCACTTTGGATGGAGGCCGAGGTGGGAGATTGAGCCTTGCATTCTTTGCCCCCCTGCTGCTCCTTCCTTCTTGCATGGTCTACTTGCACCAGCAACAGCAACGGAGAAGGCTGTTAACCATGAAGCTCGAAAAGAAGCAATCAAGGAAGCAAGGAACGAGAAAGGAAGGAAGGTCTAAATGAAATGAAACAGGAAGGAATAAATAATAAGAAAAACAAGTAAGAAGCTACTAGGGGCTCCTGGCATCGCTATTAGTAGCAAGAAGCTACTAGGGGCTCCTGGCCTTACTACTAGGAACAAGAAGCTACTAGGGGCTCCTGGCATGGCTACTAGGAGCAAGGACGCTACTAGGGCTAACATCTTTGTGTCTGGCCTCTTCGCTGCCCCAGCAGCGCTCATGGTGGCGTGAAAGCCTTGAACGAATGTAAACGTAATAAGTGAACACAAGAAAGCACAAAGAACACAAGAAAGGAAAGGTGTGATGGCAGAAAAAGAAGAGAATGGCTGCTAAAATGCATAACTAACACACAGTCACAGGTCAGACAGAAAGCCCAAACAAACGGCTTTGCTCGTGACCAAGAGGCAAAACTCATTTGATTTTGAGGAAAAGAGTCGAAGCGCCAAAAGCCACTGGCTCGCTTCCTCGCAAGCGCCAATCGCAATGCAATTACCTTAGGCAAACAGTGCGGTTGCATAGGCGCTCCTACGCACTGCCCTTGCAGACTACTAGGAGCAAGGACGCTACTAGGAGCAAAGGGCATCGCTACTAGGAGCAAGGACGCTACTAGGGGCTCCTGGCCGTACTACTAGGAACAAGAAGCTACTAGGGGCTCCTGCCCTTGCAGACTAAAGTGCTGAAGTCATTGCCTTCGCAAAGCGAGTGCAAAGCCAGCGCAAGTTGCCAGGCACCGCCCTTGCGACATGCTAGCATTGCAGAACTCAGGCCTCGCGTGTTGAGTCAACGACCCTGGCTTTACCGCAACTGAATCAAGTCTGTCTTCAGATAAGACAAGAAGAGAAGGAAGAGAAAGAAATAGAAAGAACATAGACAAGCCTGGAGGCCCAAACCAAAGCAAACATGAACAAAGGACAACAAATTAAAATAATGATAGAAAAGGCCTAAAGAAATAAACATAGGAAATACATAAGCAAAGAACATCAACCAAAAAACACACAACACCGCTTAAGAAAAGATCTTGTTGGTTGAACGGCCTTTCAAACCCGACGTCTTGCTTCTATACCGATTTATAAACGATGAGTCGACAAGCAAAATCATAATGTTAATACCACAATATATATATATATATATATAGACTCGCACCCATTGTTTTCACCCGCGCATGCAGGAATGTGTCAAAAATGTTAAAGGAAATTCAACGTATTTCGAGAAAGACATCATGTTCACTCCCTGAACCACTCACATTCCGAGGCACTACGACCACCTTTCCTGCCAAGCCAAGAGAAAGGTGGCCGCCCCTCCGTACCCCCCAAGCATCCTGCCCAGCCAGGACCCTTGGGCACAGGTACCAACCATGTCTTTCTCCTGACACGGAAATTAATTTCCCCCTCACACTGGGTGGGGGGGCGTGGCCGCAGAGCCGAGAAGCTGCGGATTCAAACCGGAAGGGTGACCGTCTTTAAATTCGGGGCGAAGACCAAAGACTCGCACCCATTGTTTTCACCCGCGCATGCAGGAATGTGTCAAAAATGTTAAAGGAAATTCAACGTATTTCGAGAAAGACATCATGTTCACTCCCTGAACCACTCACATTCCGAGGCACTACGACCACCTTTCCTGCCAAGCCAAGAGAAAGGTGGCCGCCCCTCCGTACCCCCCAAGCATCCTGCTCAGCCAGGACCCTTGGGCACAGGTACCAACCATGTCTTTCTCCTGACACGGAAATTAATTTCCCCCTCACACTGTTCTTTCACACGAGAAACCACTCCTTCCACCTCCCTCTGATCTGCTTTAGCACGCTCAAGCGCACTCGGCAGTTGAGTAAGGTCATGCTGGTGAAACGTGCGAACATACGGGATTAAAGCTTTGCGGGGTAGCTTAAGGGAAGCTAGCGTGGACAGGCCCTCGTTGATGTACAGACGCGCTGTGCGCGCTGCGGCCCACCTGCCCAAGACAATGATTCGATCTAACGAACCGTGTCGGCCGAACCAACAGGTGGCCCCACCCCGCCGTAAGCTGTACGGGCGGAATTCGAATTCCTCTAGGTGCAGAGCCTTAATGCGCTCGGAAAACTTCTTACGCCACTGGTGCGGTGCAGGGGTGAGTGGACAGCGTGAGGTGGAGGTTTTCTTCCAGGCCCATAGCCACTGGAGAGCCACGGTGACTGAAACTGTTACACTCTCAGCTGCTCCAGCCCGTTTTCCGGACTTGGTCAGACCTAATGAAATTACCGCCGGCTTGTCGGGAGATGTCATGAGGATGTGATGGTTACACAAACCCAAGATCTCCCCCGTTCGCAGCAACCCATAGAAGCCCAACAACAAGCTGAGGCCGAAGGAATATTCTTGGTTGAACAAGCACCAGCCAAGCATAGCGAACAAGCACTCTTCAGGGAGCGGCGGTGCCCGGCTTGGAATTTCATTGACGTGCCACGTCTTCAAGAGTCTCCACGTCACTTGTAGTTGACCTTTCAACCGTGGCTCCGTGTCTTGAAATCCTGCGACCGTGTCGCTAGCCAGCGCACGTCCCTCTCCAATGCTCCATAAATGCTCAACGTAGTCGGCAAGCATGTCATCGAATGCTGTGAACCTGGTGGGTATGCTCAAACCGTTTGTCAAGGCGTAGTCGTAGAATTTCTGTGTTGCTTGGCTGTATCTCTTGCGCGTCTGTGGTTGGACGGTGAGCTCACGCAACGCGCCTAAGGCTTGTCTATTTTTGGCTCTCTCTTCCTTACTGCGTCCCTCCAAATGTTGCTTCACTTTACCCATTTGCGTCCAAGCGGCCGCCGGCTAGGCCGGTCGGCAGGGTTCTGTGAGGTATGCGCATATCCCCAAATGGGGTGGAGGTCTGCTGCAAGAAGGAGAGAGTTTACCCTGGTCAACACATGCCTCAACTTTCGTGAAGAACTACGTCCACGCGACAAACTGTGTAGGCACACCAAGCTGTCGGTCAAGTGCAGGAAGCGTTTGCTATATCCACCTCGTCGAACAACCAACCATCGAAGAGTCGTCAAAATGGCCCTCAACTCCAAGACGTTTATATGCTCACCTGAGTGGCGCCACTGCCAACCTGTCACCTCCTTCCATCGCCACAATTTCGACGGCACGCTCGACCGTAGCCGGTGGAATTTCACCTGGGGTTCACTTGCCGCTGTGACCATCAAGTCCTCACCCTTCATGGACACCAAGCCCAACAACTTCAACAGCAGCGGCTTTTCCAAGGTCGCCACGAGCTTCTTGTTCGTCAGAAGGGGCGGGCGCAACAAGATGCCCTACAACGAGGAGCTTTTCCCTGGAGTGAGGTAAGTGACTATTGCTTGCAAGCTCTGCCCTCGGCAGAAGCCAAGGGGAGAGAGCAACTGTTCCAACAACCAAGTCACGACTCCTACATGCCAGGAGTTGCCAACCAAGGTCAAGCGAGTGTCATCCCATTCTGTTGTGCCCTGTTGGGCCTTCGGGAGACACGGGCGAGTATACCCCACAGGGATGCCTATAATTGCCTCCCTTTCTTGCGCTGATGGTCGCCGGGATGCTCCTTTGCGAGTCCAAAGCATGTTGTGGTCACGGTACTGGTACGGTGGGAAGCGATAACGGTCATCTTGCCACCTCTGCCTCTCATGCGATGCACATCGATCCAGACCTGCTGGTCGGTAACCAGGATGCTCACGAGGCCGCGACGTGGTAAACGTTGGGAGACGGAACCCCTCGGTAACAAACCAGCCCTGCTCCAAGAATGCCGTCTCCTCGATCTGTGCCACAAGGTCAACCTGTCCACACCCGGTCCAGTCGGGCCCGTCTGTTATTGTAACTCCCTCCCCCTGTCTCAAGTCCCAATCAACCCAGTAGAGACGAGGTCGATGGCATAGGCTGATTCCCCCGGAATCGATTTTGTATGGAGTGACACCTACTGCCTCGCTCATGAGCTTGCGGTCGGCCTCCGACATTGAAGCGACTGATTCCATGAGAAGGCGTACCTGGGCCCACGGAAAAGCCTTTTTGAAGAGGTCCCGAATACGGGGTACTTCTTGGTACAGGCAGCTGCGGGCATCACGTAGGGCTCCCTTCTTGGAAGCGTTGAGTCCGCTTACACCTTGACATGGCGGTCCGGCCCCAATAAGGACCATGGCAACAGAGGGGAAACGCATCGCCAAGCTCCCTACCAACTCAGCGTCCACCGTCCTCACATTGTCATGAAAGGTGGTGTCCGGAAAGAAAGCCTCTACGACTCGACGCCCTGTGCCTTCCTTCTCAACGCTCAGGTGGCCGGCAACTCCAACTCCCAAGCTGTCAACTGCCAAGCGCAACGCACCTAACCCGTCGAACAATCCCACTGTAAGGATCTGAAGTGTATCTCCCTCCCGCGGGAGATCACCTCTACATTCCGCGTTCAACGCTGCAATGCCATAGCCCGTGAGGCCTTCACTCACGCATATGCCTCCACCAGAAGTTGAAGCATCACTGCAAGTCACATGCTCCATGAAAGGGCACCGGAAGTCGATCTGGGCCAAGGGGGTCAGCAGGATGAACATAAGCAACTCCCTTTGTACCTCGGGAGGCACGGAAAGGCGTACCACAGGTGGCATCCGCTTCAGCTTTTCCATGAACTTCCACACCTCATTCAGAACTGACAGCAACGGTCGCCTGAACATGGCAAAGTACACGAATCCACCGCAAACCACCTGTAGCTCTTTCAAGGTGCATTTTCCTTGCTCAACTAGCATCAGTCCCAACTGGCAGTACAACGCGATCTTGCTTGCCTTCGGCTGGGCGAAACCGGCGACACCATCAACGACCGCTCCCTGTATCTCAGCAACGGGAGCTCGCTCAACGGCCTTCTTGGGGTGACGTGGTATGTTCTGTGTGGCGTACTGCTCCCGAAGTTCCTGAACCGTGCTTGCCACCTGTCCTTCAAGCGTTGCCGCAGTCGTTGGGTCAAAACGCTCTACCAGGTCAAAGTTGTCAAGGTATACGCGATACTGTGACTTCGCGGTACTGCTAACCCGATCTTTCCGCATCTCACATGCTTGATCTAAGCCTCCCTCAACCTGTTGACTCCATGAGACGATGTTCCGGTGAACGTGCTGTGCGATGGACACACTGTTGATGAACCCCATAGGCAACACACACGAGGTCAGCGCGCAAGGACGGCCCTGCCACTTCTCCGGTACTAGAGCGGCAGGTACAGGGCGATTGAACCCAAGGAACTTCTTCCAGGCAGGGGGTATCTTGAACAGATAGAAAAAACAACGTATGTCTTCAGAACTTATCAGGGCCACCTCTCCGTCATCGAGCAAAAAGGTTCCAAAGCTGCAGATGTTCGGGAGAGTACATACGTCTCCCACCAAAGCTTCACACAGCCGATTGAGTGGCACTAAATTCATAATTAAGCGTTGTGTTTCAATCTCCCCCACAAATTCGCCCTTGCCAACCCCAAACATTCCGTTCATCAAAGGCACCTGGTTGATGTGGAAGAGCTCGTCCACGGGGATAACTTCGCAGATGTTCTTCTTGAGCAGGCCCTCACAGATAGTGGGCCAATCATCACCGACCATGACCCGACAGGCTTTGGGGCATGGGAGGTCCGACGAATCGATCAAATGTTCCTCAAAATGGTCCAGATAATGCAGGGTCCCTTGCGTACAGAAATCCCTCAAATCCAACTGTCCTACCTCCTCCGGTAAAGAGTTCCGAACACCCTCCCATGTCAATGTCTGAGCGACTCGAACTTCTTCCCCGTCATAGGTAACTCCCCGTTTTGCAAAGAAGTC